TTATTTTCTTCCTTCAATGTCAAACCATCTCCAATTCCTATCATATTTAGAATCCCAAACTTTCTCTGCCAAACTTCATTCCGAATATCCATCTAAACCCTAATTTTTGACATTTTAATAAAATTTGTCACAAAGAAAACTTTTCATCCTTCTGTGGAAAATCTGCTCAAAATGATCTGAAATTAAATTGGACCATGCAATCCATCATTCTAAATATCTCTAAAAATTTTCATTGAAGAAATTCCATCCCTATTCTTGGATTTTGAATTTTCTATTTCCACCCTCCTATGGAGAATAAAACCTCACTAACCATTCTTAACCCTTGCTTTTAGTTACAAAATCACCCCTAAACTCTTCTTAGCCCATGTTTACCCTCCTAGTTTCATCCTTGGTCTTTAAGTCCTACATCAATTAGGTATTTGAGCTTTCGTTCCTACATCAAGAAAAGACCATCTTACATTATTAGCATGCACCTGCTATACTATACCAAAATGTTTTAATAGATTCATAGTACATTTTGTTGCGTACTATCATAGTTTTAGTATTCCAAATTATTTTATTGATTTGCATCTAAAACATTGCATTATAAAATAACCATCTAAAGCATACTGAGCCAGTGTCCTTCAAGGTCATGCTATATAGATTTTGGGGTTCCCTCAAGCACCAAAGTTGTACCCTGAGGTTACAGACTAAGGCAATTCTGTATTTCTACAGGTACAACTACTTGCTTTATTTTGTTGAACTGCATCCTTTTTTCTTATTAAGTTATACCAAAAAAGAAAAAACAATCTATGAGATTGGATGTTCAATTTCTAGAAATAAGCTTTATAACATGAAGATAAAAGGTTACGATCTCCTCATGTTACCTGGATATGACATGGACATGGGGCATGGCTGGATACAATATTGGATACAAAAATTTACACTAAAAATTTAAGTATTTGACACAATACAGCACCCTTGTATAGGTATCTAGGTATCACAGCAATATCCCCTTAAAATCATGTAAAAAGTAAGAAATTCACTCTTACCCTAAGGGTATGTTTGGTTTGAAGGAACAAGTAGGGAAAGGAAGGGAAAGGTGGAGAAACCTTTACAAACCTTGTATAGGTTTCCCCACCTTTCCCTTCCTTTTCCTACCTTTTCCTTCAAACCAAACATAGCCTAAGTGCATTCCATTATATAATTCATTTTGCTTTCATTTCTCCTTAGCTCTATAAGTCTTCTAGTTTTACTAAAAATCGTTTATTCCATGTTAATAACTTTAGAATTTGATAAATAATATTAAGAATATAACCCCCATGCTTATAATTAGATCTTAGGTGCTACTGTAAATATGTCACATAGATTCATCTATGGCTACTTTAGAATTGTTGATCTACTTTTATCTCCGGGTTGTTATTTCTAGTCTTCATCATAAATTTACATCTAGTAACATGGTTACAATTTAATTAATTTGAGAAGTATGCAAACCCATCTAAAAATGTGGTGATATAATACATGTTAAAGAATTATCTAAAATGTTGTTTCTGGGTCTACAGATATCTCTGTTTTAGATAATTACTTTGTAAATGTAGAGGATGCAAAAGTAATGCTTATAGAAAATAAAAAAGGAAAAAAAAAATGCCCCTTGAAATTTTGGCCCAATCCCACATATTATTTACCAAACAGATCAGGTGACAACTATGAAAGCACAGACTTGTAGGCCACTGAATAACAGTCTCTTTTTTGTTATTTTAAGTCATATTCTAATGCATAATACAGATATTCAAGAAGACCAGAGACAGAATAATATTATGTATGAACTTTTTTTTGATATAGTGTTTGGGAGTTCTGACTTGGAACTATGTCAGAAGCTGGCAGTAAATGGATCATTTTCCTCCCTATATTTTAATTTCTAGATGGAAATTAGGGACTTAAACCCTAAACTTCTTGCAACCAACTATGGACATCATCAACACAAAATGATAATAGTAGCAATAATAATGACCATTGTTTAAATTATTTTATCTATTTATATATTTTATGTTTTCACAGCTTGAATGTATTTTTTAGAGGCCAATGTTCCAAATTCCCTACTTGAAGGAACCTAGGAGTAGTTCCAATATGTGATAAAACAAGGAAGAGTAGATTAAGATGGTTGGGGCTAGAAGAGATCTGTTACAAGTTGAAGGGGCTTGAGATGCTATCAATAACGACATTGGTTGAAGTAATGGAAAATGATTTAAGGACACAATTTAACAATGTATATGACATTGAACAGGATGGAACCAAGGATTAAAATATTGATACGCGGTGCATACAGATATGGCCAATACTCATGCTTTTCTGGCTTTTTTTTTGTTTTATAATAATCAGGGGGTTGGGGAAGAGGTCTGAGACCTTTAAATATTTCAAAAAGTCTGCGTATTGGTGTATCCAAGCATATTTGGGTACATCAATATCGATACAATACACCCCGTATCTGGCATATCGTGTCAATGCTTTAATCCTTGGGTGGAACCGAGGAAAAGGATTCATGTAGTCAACCCCATATAGTTGGAACAGGCTTAGATGATGATGATGTTGGTAACCCTTGGTCAAGGAACAGCCAAACCCCCTATAAGGCTATAAATACTCAAGTATGCTTTGACACAAAGAACCTCAAAGATATAATTCATTACCTTCAAAACATAAAAGGAGAGAAAAAACCAGGTGCCTACATCATATGCATGATGCAACCCACTTGAAATTCCACTATATGTGAAAAGCACCTACTCTGCAAATGCATGAACAGAGCAAATAAAAGGAGTTCATTACAACATGGATTGAGAATAGAATGTCACCGGTGATAAAAAAAACAAGTGAAAAGAACAAAAGAAACAAACTTAAAATCATAGGAACAAAACCAAGTATCAATGGGTACCAAGGTTTTAGGTGGTGGAAATATGACGAAACCATAAATCATAAATATCTGAGTAATCACTCTTCAAGGCACTGCAATAAAAAAGAAGGGGCTACTGGTCCTTTGACCTAGGGCTATAAAAGGATAGGATTTGAATTGAATCAGGGGGGATTTGGATTCAGTTCAAGTATTTGAAACAAACCATATATCCAATATTAATTAAAAATCAAATAAAATTCTTGTGTTGAGTCCCAAGTTCAAATCCAACCAAATATTCTGATGTTTGAAAACAACAACTAAAATCACTAAAAATTGAAAAATTCATGTAGGAATTCTAATTATATAAGCAACTATTTAATCTAAGAATAGTCAAAATTACATAACAAGAGGTTTGTCGGTTCAACTACTTACTTGTATAAGATTTGTGCTTTAACTATTTGTGAGAGTACAAAAGTTCCACTTAGGGTTTTAGCTCTTTTATGATATACCGAAAGCTCTGCTCTGTCAAATCAGAGATGCGTTGAGAGATCAAGTCATAGAATCTGTGGTTTTTGGAAATTTTTTTAATTGTTCAGATAAATATGGACCGATTATGAAATCTGAATTATTCTTCTATCAGATAAGAAAGCTTAAAAAATCCAAGATTTAGTTGAAATCATGGCAGAGATAAATAAATAAGCCTTCTTAATTCAATGATTTCTGGAGTTCATCCGGCCTTTGATCGCTCAATCTTCAAATGTTTGATTTCAGACAGCTTTCAAGAGGCAAGAACAAATCACTTCGAATACTGCAATGTAATTCTTTGATACTTCTACATGTAGTCAGTTTGAAAAGTATGGAAGTTGTTTCTCTGGCAGACTCAGATCCGTTGTCTGCATGGAAGAACCACTGTTGTTGTCAGAAGTTGAATGGATATAGTGTTTCTGAGTGACAATTAAACATTATATGATGCTCTTTCAATATTTACATCAAGCAGTTCTCTATAGTGTGCAAAGGAATAGAGTTGTAAGATGACAAGGACTTAATTCTGTTCTGAAGCTTGTAGGATCAATTAAAAACAATACAAAGATTCAAAAAGATACCTGAAAACAAGAACTTCTGATTTCCATATATTTCCAGAGAAAAATAATATTCCATATTGTTGAGGGGGATAGAATAAGAACAGATTTCCAAAACAATGCAGCAGATTTCTAGGCTAAACTATTTCTAAATTGATCGTAGGTAACAAGGAGCCATGAAATTTATTGAACAAGTGTACAGATTATTGATGAAAGTAAAATTGACTACCTACAGTCCTAATAGGTATAATTCAGTTGCATCCATTCATTTTCCCTCACTTCACATTGGTTAAACTGTCAAATGAACCAATAAATTGAATTTTTTAAATGTTGGAATGGTTAAAAGAAGTATTTGGACAATATTTGGTTTCCTTTGTTATTTACATCAAAACAGAAAAAGAGATGGAAATAATAGCTGAAATAAAAGAAATGTTGGTATGGTTAAAAAAAGCAGAAAACAAAGTTTTCACCATAAAAGAGATGAATAATAGCTGAAATATTTCATTCTGAATCTGAATTAATCTTAGGACCTAATACCCTCTGATATGTTTTTAATTTAATACACCCTTCTAATATGCTGACTGAAAGATTTATCAACACAACCAGATCTCAAGCATATTAAAGTATTGAACTCATGTGGGACGGGTAGATTGTCCCACAATTTATATTTAAAACTCAAAACCTTAAGTTTTGGGTTGGAACTCTAACCTCATTTGAAATGGTTTAAACTTGATATTTGACAGATAAGACAAAACATGAATGCTGGTAACTGCTGAAATTGGGACTTGGATTTTAGTATTTTCAATTGGTCTGAAATCATAAGATGCAAATTGTTCTGTACAAGGGACAGCTTTAGGAAAGTTTAATAGCACATAGCAGGGATGAAGAGTGAAGATTGGACTCAGAGTAGGGTAACCTTAGCCTGTGGATGATGTACTTCACCCCAAGCATTTTTCAAAAACCACATTCTCATTCACTTAAAATACAGACTACGTATCAAATCATCAACTGACACAGTAATGTGAACCCCCCAAAACCACCAACCCACCACCAAAAAGTATCAGAAAATGCTTTCACATTCAACAATTTAGAGTATAGAGTTCAGACAACCCAGTTGCTGTATTTCTGCTTCACTGTCCCAGTGGAATCCAGAAAAACTGACTCTTACTAAAGACTGGAAGAAAATTCAATGGTTGCATATCAACTAGTAGAGATTGGGTTTCAATTTTCAATTGAACTTGACCCAAGTTGAGACATATACAAGTTAGTAATAATTCCTCCAAGTCACTGCTACTTCAACTTGATGTGTACCACTAGTACTCAGGTTGCCCGAGCAAGACTACAACTGCCATGGTTTCATTTAGCCGCCCCTGACTGGGACAATTTGTTATAAGATACCAAAGGCAAATAAGATAATTTTGTCATTATTAGATATACTGGCAAAGGGGTTGTTAGTATGATAATTTAGGATTAATCCCCAGAGGAGACTGCCATCCTCTCATCAGAATTAGCACCAGCAGTAGATATCCCATGGCCAGTAATGGCAACTCCCCGGAAGGAATCCCCAGATACCAGAGCCTGTAGCAACTTGGGGGGTGGTGGAACAGTGACTTCCACCGTCCCCTCTAGCATTTTCACCACCATACCCATTGTAGGTCGGGCGGCTTCTTCATCCTGAATACACCACACAGCGACCATTGCTGCTCGCTCTGCCTCTACAGGATCATAAGCCCCAGCAAGGCGCTCATCCATCACTCCAGCTACATTGCCCTCAATTATCTGGCGTGCTGCCCATGGAGGAAAGAACCACTTTTCCTCCATTGGCTTCTCCCTACTATCTGATGGTGGTGCCTCCACATTTCGCCGCCCACCTATGATCTCCAGCAATGTCATCCCATAACTGTATACGTCTGCCTTTGCTGTAATGGCAACCCCAGAAATCCACTCCGGTGCAACATACCCCCACGTCCCCCTCATGGTCGTTAGAACCCTGCTGAAATCACGCCCTATGAGCTTGGCCAACCCAAAATCTGACACTTTTGCTGTGAAATCACTATCTAGAAGAATGTTCTCTGGTTTGATATCACAATGTATGATGCAATCCCGGCATTCCTCGTGCAAGTATGCGATACCTCTTGCCGTCCCAACTGCCACCCGGAATCTGACATCCCAACTCAAGTTTTGCGCATCTCGCCGCAGAAACACACTCAATGACCCATTCTGCATATAGTCATAAACCAAGAGTCTGTGAGAATTCTCCGAGCAGAAGCCTCTCAGTCGCACGAGATTGACATGTTGAATGTTCCCAATTGTGCAGACTTCCGCCCGAAATTCCTTCTCACCGCCTCCAGGACGTTCAAGCCGTTTTACAGCCACAAGCGACGAATCGGACAATTCCCCCCTAAAAACCGCCCCAAAACCTCCGTGCCCAAGCTTCTCCGAGAAACCTCGAGTTGCTGCAGAGAGTTCCTTGTAAGAAAATACCTTCAAATTCGTTACAGGGAAAACAGCTTCCTCTTCCTTCTTTTTCCTGATCTTCCTCTTCTGCAGAACTAGTAACATCAAAACCGCGAAACCCAAAACTGCCATCAACCCGCAAACACTGCTAAGCAGAGCAACTGCTCTCCACTTGCCCTTCTTCTTAAATCCTTCACTCCCAACCCTAACATACAAAACTTCTTCTCCGCTGCTATCAGTTGTCAGATTTCGGAGATTCAGCAGATTCCCATATAGATTCTTACACAAATCAGCCTTCATGTTGTGAATGAAACCAAAACACGAACAGTTCTTCAGGCACGACTCTTCGCATGATCGCCGACTGCCAGGAAATGACACACTGACGACATCGTCGAAACTGACGACCCCAACCTCTTGGAAATCATCGTCCTCATCGCACAGGCTCTCATCCTCGCGACGGCAACCGCCCGAAAAATCGCCGGAGTTCCATGCACGGTCATCAAGAGGCCGGAACCCAGAGAGGCAGTCGCAAGGCCTCAATGTCAAGCTATTGCAAACACCCAAGTTCCCACATAGTCCGTAGGCACGGCACCGATTCTCAGGACGAGACCAGAACATATTCCAGTTGTCAGTCTGCGTAGACCATGTGTACTGCTTCAACTGGCCGGAGTAATCGACGGAAAACCGTGTAAGCGGTGGCCGGGAACCGTTTTCCAGCGAGATTTCTGTGTACCCGAAGGACGCCACGGGCGTGAAAGGATTGAGGAAATAGAAGCTGTAGATGTAACGTATCATCATCTCAGGCACATTGGAGAACGTAGACCCGGTCCAAATTCCGGTCGTCCAGTAGGTTTTGCTGCCATTAAAGACGAGTTCGAACTCGCCGTAACCGGGAGATTTTAGCCTGAGAGTGTAATTTCCGGGTGACGGGTCAGATGTGCTCCTCCAAGACGTTATCGCCACACGGGCCGTGATGTTCATTCCCGGAAGCCACGTATCAGCCGGAAAATCGAAACTTTGCCAAACGGCCGTCCCTTCGCGAGATAGAAGAACTAAGTTTCCGGTGTCTAGAAGCATCACCTTCGTGGCCCCTTCTGCATTTTCCGTCTGCCAGACATCACGAGCATCGGAGTCCGTTATCTTCAGCCGGCCGTCCTCAGTCAATCTCATTGTCGCCGAAGTCAGGTTTTTGACTGGTGCCTCCCTGTTTGCAACCCAAACGTAGGTTCGGATGGGTATCGAGGCGTACCACATGCCGATATACCAGTCTGATCCGCCATTGGTGCTGAAAAACCCAAGCTCGAAAGTTCGATTTCTGCTCAAAATGGTCGAATTTCCGGAGACTATTACAGGTTCCATCTCTAACTTGTTGCTCCTGCTGGAGGTAGCAGCCCTTTCATTTGCAAAATCCACGATTTCCCGTAATAAATATCTGTTATGCAATTTGTTTGAGCGACGTCGTCTAGTCTTAAAAGGTTTTGATCCTTTCTCGCAACCATCCACCGAATTAAGCGAAACTTGGGAGCCGCAACAGAACTTGTATAATCCTCCATCTTTGCAGAGAACTGTACGTTTCACCGACCCGGAGACAATCTCATCCTTATCCTTGGTTTGAAGTAGCGTTGAATTATCAGACAATCCGACTAAAGAACTTGATGATGCGACCTGGTTCGCCATTAAGACACAGAGAAGAGCGGCAATAAACACGTTGGTAGAAACGATTGTCAGCGACATCTGAGCCATTTTCAGCCGTTCTTCTTAGCTCGGCGCAGAGCATTTTTTGTTGCCAACAACCACCATAGATTCAGAAATGGGAGGAGACTATTAAATGAACTAATGATGCAAAAAAGGGTAAAAGATTCAAAGAAGAAAAGATGAGAGAGGGCGATGATGGGGAATCAGTGAGGAGCATTCGGTGTAAATTTCTGAATCGTTTGTGGGGTTAGAAGTTATCAACAAAAAGAAAATGGATTTAACAGATAGAGAAAAGAGCAAATCATTAGATTATTGTAATATTATAGAGAAGGTTAGGAGAGGAGTCAGGACGGGCGACAAAGTTATAAGGTATATTCTAGGGGGGGGGGGGTATTAACGCATTTTGTGAAGAGGAGGAGAGGACAGGACAGGAAATCAACCCTCGTGACCCAATCATATCTGACACCCAAATTTCAATAAAGAAGAAAATAGAGAAAGGGCCCACCGTCCGTCCACTTCGTCATTCTGCTTTCAAACTTGTAGGACCCACTTGCTGGAAAGTGGAGAGTGAGGAGTGACTAGTCAGTCAGTAGTCAGGGCTGATGAGATCAGGTCTCAGGTCCTCCTCTTCCTCTTCCCCTTCCCCCCATCGTGAACTGGCACGGAAGCCCCATATGTCGTGAGGCTGGCCCTCCATCTGGAATATCATATCGGAGATCCGCTAGACATGTGGCGATCCGTAAAACACTAGATAAAAGCTCATATGCGCATTTAGGCTGTGTTTGGTCAGAAGGAAAACGTAAGAAAACCTATTACATTACATACGGCCTTACGGAACATTGGATGTTGTTACTGCGTGTAGCGTGTAGACCACAGAAACAGAATAGATATTTGTAACGTTTTTTTCTCAAGGATAATAAAGTTGCTTAATTTGGACATTTGGAGCATGTAGGACCCATTATACCCCTAATTTAGGGGTTGGATGCTGAAGAAGAATGTATTATGGATAGGCCCGATACGTCGGTAGAGATACATCGGGCGAATCGATATTTTTTTTTTATTTATTTTGGAAATCAGTTCAGAGGGCCGATTTAGGACTCTTCCACCCCCTGAACCAGTAAGACCCCGGATACATCCACTATAGGGGCGTATCGAAAGAGTCCTAGAATATGTATATGTATGCTCGTTGTGAGAGATTGAGACTTATGAATCCCCAATTTGCTTTGCTTGCTTTGAAGCTCAAAAGAAGTAACGATTTGCCACTAGGAGCTTTGAGCCAAATAAGATTGGCCAGAGAATTTTACTAAGGCTGTGTTTGGTTGCAATGCAAATAAATTTGCATTGATGCAAAACCATGGCAATGCAAATGATATGAGTGTAAATTCTGACTATTTTTGTTTTAAATTTTAGCTTATTTTGTTTGATTGCAGAACAAATGAAGTAAATTAAGATATAAAGCAGAATAAAATAAAATCCAAAACAAAATTAAACAATAAATTGCATTTTTTTACATTTGCATTCCCATTCTTTTGTATTAGTGCAATAAATTTGCATTGCAATCAAACACAGCCTTAATATGATCGTGTCTGATGCTACTCAATCCTAGGTGGTGCATAAATTGAGGAGAGCAACCAGATAGTCCTTACTGGCAGGGTGGGGCTGAGCTAGAAGGACGAGGCCGCACTTCAAGACCTGTGATCAAGGAAACAGAAGTCAGAGGTCCGAGGAGTTATCCCTGGGTAAGGATTCCGACGCTCAAGTCAGTAGAACGTGATGGATGGTCAGGCCGAGCTATAGGGATGTTGGTCCGAGCTAATTAGTAGTATGGGTGTTAGAAGTTGGGGATCCCTTACCTCGAGCATGGAGTACCTTTTTATAGCAGAAGATCAGTGTCCTTGTCAGATTGAGCTTCTGGGGTTATCGGGATGAGGTTAGCCGCCGAGGTATTTAGGATAGAGTCTCATTCCCTAGCGGAGTTGTCTCTCCTTCTCTGTAGTTGTGCTCATCCATATGATGTGTAGTTGACATGGCTGGAAGGATAAGATGGGGGGCCACAGTAATAGCATAGCTCGGCTGAGCTAGGCCGATGTGGTCGAGCTATGCTGACGTGGCCGAGCTATGCTAATGTGGCCAAGCTAGGATGACGTGGCAGGGCGATAGCTGGTCGGCCAGGTGTCTCGTAAGGCCAGCTCAGCCATGACCCGAACACCACTCCCCCAGTTCTGAACTCGAGGAATGAAGTAGTTCAATTCGTTCTTCAGCTAAAGAACTTCAAATTGATGTCTGGATGGGCGTCTGGCCCCTTTGGTGTTCCTCAACGCCTATCGCAATCTTGAGAACCGGGAAATATGGAAAATGGCTGAGGAATCTTCCCATTGTCGGCTACAAAACTCTAAGAGCTCTAACTTCGGAATCTGAACACCACTCCCCTAGTTCTGCCGCTGAGGATGGGGAGTGCTTGGCCCAAAATGTTGCTCGGTTGTGTAGCTCAGCAGGGAGTCGAGGTGTTGAACTAAACTTCCAAGTTCGTCTTAGTGGAGCCGAGGAATGGCTCTGATTCTAAGTGGAAGTTGAGCTTTTATGTCGTGGTGATGCTCGGCCATGGTGTGCTGAGCTTTGGAGTTGGGTCAATATTTTGGAGTTGAGGTTGTTGTAATGCTTGGCTATGATGTGTCGAGCTTCCAAAGTCAGGGCTTAGCTCGGTTGTATGCCGAGGAAAGGCCTTTTGTTGACGGTCAAAGGCCGAGCTCCGAAATCGAGGTTGTGATGCTCGACCATGGGGCGTCGAGCTGCAGAGACAGGTTCCTTTGGGGTTGCCGGGCTGTGGGACCGAGATTGTTGCGATGCTCAGCTATGACTTGCCGAGCTCCGAAGTTGCATGGTACCGAGTACTGCCCATTCTTCTTGTTGCTCGACGAGGTGTTGTCATTGTTGCTCGACGCTTTATTTTTATTCCTCGGCTTCAAGTTCGGTAAGATGTCTTCCTCATCTTCCCATTCTTCTTCCGCTTCTAGATCTTCTGGTTCTAGTGAGTCTGATTACGAGTCCGAGGTTGGGGTTTTTGAGGATGCCAAGGTTGAGGGGGCCGAGGTTGAGGAGGCCGAGGTCGGTCACTCTAGCGTAGAAGTTGAGCTCCGCTGCAGGTTGGTAGCCAGTTTGGCACCACACCCTGTGTGTTGGGCCTCGAGGATATGGCTTGGATCCGAGCTATGTAACATCCCCGAGGATTTCCGAATGAGGAGCCCACAGCCCGGTGAAATGGCAACCGATGCTCAGCCCAGTGAACTTTATGTGTATGAGAACAGTTTGGAGGCTAAGCTGAGGTTTCCTCTGAACGAAGGGGTTGCCGAGGTACTTGCATGGTACCGAGTACTGTCGGTGCAACTGATGTCGAACTCCTTTATGTTTTTGGTCAGCCTTTTGTCCTACTGCGCCGTTCGTGATATTGAGTTGACCCTAGGTATGGTGAGCTTCCTTCTTCAACTCAAACCTCATCAACAAGGCTATTACTATTTCTCGATTAGGAAGGACATCAAAGTGCTGGTCGGGGCTCCTTCCTCTGTGAAGCATTGGAATGAAACATTTTCTTTGTCCACTACCCTGGGGGTCTCCCCTTCTCGGTCGTGCTACAATAGCCAAGAATGAGAGTGCCCCAGCCTCAATGGCCGGCGCTTACTTGGGAGGAAAGGTCGGCTCTGAGCATGATCCACAAGATAGACGTAACTGTGTATACATGCTCGAAGATGTTGATGCTTGGCGGGTTGATGCACAAGGTGGCTAGTCTGTCCTTTTCGTTGGTTTGTCTTCTTGTACTTTCTTTACATCCTTGTTCTCATATTCACAGTTGCACTTCCGTAATGCAGGTGTAGAGATGGCTAGTGAAGAGGAGATCTACGCCAGATGGAGGAGAATTGCTAGAGGCAGAGCTGGGCTGGCGCGGTACCACAGGTCCATGTTGAGGTAGTTCCTCCCCCATGGTCTTCCAAGAGGGCGCCTCACCGGTAGAAGAGAGCTCGGCGACGGGGGAACGATGATGAGGACATGGTGGTCGTGGAACCCAAGGAAGCTCGTCCGATAGCTTTCCCTATGCAGGTCAAGGTGGGTAGCAGCAGCTCAGACATCCATGTGCCGTGCTGGACGGTTCATAGTCGGGACGAGCTAGAGACTCCTGGAGTTCCCGAGCAGCTACTCTGTGAGATGATGACAGCCTACATCACTAAAGAGGCCGAGAATTCTAGGAGCAGCACATTAGAGTGCTTGCTCATCTGGGTTGCGGCTTAAGTAAGTTCACACTTAAGTATCTCTGTTGTTTTGAGTGTGTTTCCTCGTGCTAACACTGCTTTTGGTGTCCGCAGAACGCATGCTCGGCCGTGGCTGTAGTTAACCACCTTCGAGAGTTGTGGCGGTGGTATGAGAAGGAACATTCTGAGTACCTGCAGTTGAAAGTGCAACTAGCTGAGCTTCAGGCAGCTGGGAAGCGAACTGCTGAACTGGAAAAGGAGGTGGCTAAGCAAGTAGAGTTGGTTTGCAGTTTAAAGAACAAGATCACTGAACTGAAGGCGGAGAGGGAATGGCTGAAGCAGGATGCCGCCGAGGAGGCAATGGCGCGGTACAAGACCTCAGTGGAGATTCAATAGGATATGGATCAATATGCTTCAACTTCCTATGAAATAGGCTTCAATGTCTTCCAACGGAGAGCGTTGTGCCACTGTCCCGAGCTAGTCACTATTGCACAGACTTGGGAGGCCTACGACATTGAAACGCCCCCGGCCTCGGATGAGCTTGTTGGCGAGGAAGGCGGAGGCGGTGATGACGAAGGTGGAGATGATGAGGCCACCAACTTTCCTTCCACAGATTGAGCTGCTGCAGGTCTCTTCATTTTCTTTTTGTTGATCTTGTAATGCCTTGGCATGCCAAGCTTTCACCCAATGTACTGGAAATTTTTAACTTAATGAAATTTTTTTTATTTTGAACTTGTGTGCAACTTGTTATACTTTTAACTTAATAATAATTTTTTTGTTTCCTCAGCCTTGCCTTGGCCAACCTCCGACTAGTGAAGTGGAAGTGCATTCCAAGCTCTCGTCTTTGGGATGCTCAGTTTTCAGTCTCGGGAGCTTTTGGATCCCTTCGAGGGCTAGCCGTTGCTCGACTAGCTTTGACCGACTTTGGTTGGTAGACGAGCAGAGTTTGGTTGACCGTCCTTAGGCCCCAGGGGTGGGGGTGTTCTCTGCTTTAGGCTCAGGCCGTTCATAGGTCAGCTGAGTCAGGTAGGTCGGTGATGCGCTGCCGAGCTATGCGTTGTGGGCTCAGGCCTTTTGGAGGTCAACTAAGTCAGGTAAGTCGACAATGCGCTACCGAGCT